ATCCAGAAAAATCATATTTATTGACAGCTTCACACAAAGATAAACATTTTCTTCTCTCTTATTTTTCTGTCTCCTTTCCAGAGCAAACCTTTTTACTCATTTATTTATGTATGTATGTATGTATGTATGTATGTATGTATGTATGTATGTATGTATGTATTTATTTAATTAAATAAATACTCAGTCAGCACAGTTTTTGGCTGATCTGAAAGACCATGAAATTTGAGAAACCCTGTGATATGAATTATTAAAATTAAGTGATAATAGTTCTTTCTTGCCCAATCCAACCTTAATGAAATCATTTGATAAGTTCCTGGAGGATTACACAAAGTCATTTTAAGGAGTTGCAGCAGTGCAAAACTTTGCAAAATCTGCCCTAGGTGCAGAGGTGGGTTCCTGCCGGTTCAGACTGGTTCGGCCGAGTAGGTAGTAACTCATCCGCCCACGCCTCCAAACTGGTTCTATCAGTGGCGCCATAGACATTAGCATTTTTTTCACTACTGCACATATGTGCATAGCACACATCAAGCGCACATGCACATGCAAAGCATGTCCCTGAGCAAACTGGCAGTAAAAAAATCCGGAACCCATCCCTGCCTAGGTGAATACAGAAATATGGATTTAGGGGAAAAACATAATATTATCAATAACATTTCATCAAATGATACCACTAGAGTTCGAACCTAATGCTGATTTACGTACCCTTCCTTACACGTATAAGTGACTGTATTCCCAAAGGTAAAGTTGTTTCCAGTAACAACAGCATCTTTAATTACTGGAGGAAGGCCACAAGAAACGATTTCACAATCTGGAGGTGAGCTGCTCCAGTTACCTAAAGCTTCACATACAAGTACAGATGGTCCTTGCAGACTAAGGAACAAATAAACAACATAAAGTAGATAGTGGGTATGATAAAAAGTAGGGGTGGGGGAAGGTCTTTCTGTCTGAATAGGACAACAAATATTCTTTTTCATTTAAGGAATTATTGAAATTGTTCAATCACTCCAGGGGTACATACAGATAGTTCTCGACTTACAACCATTGGCTGAGTAACCGTTCAAAGCTACAACACTGAAAAAGTGACATGACCATTTTTCACATTTATGACTATTGCAGCATCCTAACAATCATGACACTAAAATTTGGACGATTGGCAACTGGCATGTATTTATCAGGGTTGCAGTGTCCTAGGGTCATGTGATTACTTCTGTGACCGTCTGACAAAGAGAATGGGGAAGACAAAGTCACTTAGCCACCATATTACTAACTGAATAACTGCAGTGCTTGACTTAGCAACCGTGGGAAGAAAAGTCATAAAATGGGGCAAACGTCACTTAATAACTGCCTTGCTTAGCAACAGAAATGTTGGCCTCAATTGTGGTTGTAGGTCAAGGACAACCTGTGCACCATTTGTGAATTATAAGTAATAAACCTTGGAGCACAAATCTTGAATAACACCATGTTGAGTCAATCAGAATGTGCATGCTTCAAACATGATTAAGAAACAGTATTTTGAAACTCATTTGCCTTCCAATGTGCAATAATATACGACAACAAATAATAAAAAGAAGTTTAAGTTCCATAAGGAACATTTTGCATATATTCTCAACTCATGAATACATGTCAGTTTTTCTTCTGCAATTTTAACAAGGACATATTATATACCAAATTAAATCTGGTGTTCTGATTACCTGTACCCCATGTCACACGTGTAAGATACATTAGAAAGGTACATTACACCGTTTGCAATATATTTTCCATTCTTTATTTCTTTTGGGAGGGAACATTGTACTAATTCACAAAACGGAGAAGAATGGTTCCATCTGCCATTCGCTAGACAAGTTGCTTCTGCTTCACCCACTAAAACGTATCCTTCTTCACATCTGTAAGTAGAAAAAAAATAGATATAAATATATTTTGGTACATGCCTGTTTCACAGTATTTCTCCTGATGTATTAACACAATTTCTCAAATATAAAGCTGCAACTGAAATAAGATAGCTGTGGCCATTTATCAGCACAAATCATCATTCTAACTATGTATAATATAATCTTCTTTAGCCAAAACAGTTATGTTTTTAAAAGTTTATCATTTTTCCACTTTTCCAGATTTCTGACCAGCTACAGAGTAATCCGTGCATATGATAATATCATGTGATATTTCCATAGCATTAACTGTTTAATTTCAATTCTCTGTGAAATATACTGAAGGTTAAGTAGATATTACTGCGTGAAATCTGGATAATCCCTCATTTAGTTGCCACCCATTGAGTGGCTATTTGAAGTTACAATGGCACTGATTGAGGGGATTTATGACTAGTGATTGTAATTCAGATGCTTGACAACTGGCTGACATTGATGATAGTTACAGCAGTCACATGATCACAGTTTGCAATCTTCACTGCCAGCTTCTGACAAGCAAAGTCAATAGAGAAGCTGGCAAACAGTGATTATGGGATCATGGGATCACACAGGATTCACCTAACCACAGTAACTGGAGTTGCTGTAACTGCTGTTGTAAGTCATGTGAAATCATACCTTAAGGCAGGGGTGTCAAACTCGCACTGTCACAGCAGCGTCCCGTGATGTACTGTGACTTTCCCCTCTTTGCTAAACTGGGTATGGCCAGTGTGTGACGCATCTGGCCTGAAGACTGCAAGTTTGACAGCCCTGGCTTAAGGTCGTGTAACTTAGCTATGGAGTTGCTGGTTCCAGTTACTATTGTTAAATATGGGCTACCTGTACTATGTCAAAGATAAATAAAGACAAAAGTTACTTTTCAAACTGAACTATTTTACAATAGGTACTATAATTATTAAATATCTGTATTTCTCTAACCAAGCCCGTTCATATATAGTTTCAAAGCAGGTTAACATTTAGAACATTTAAAATATTTCATAGTCAATGATAGCAATACAATTTCATTGCATACATTATTATTACAAAGTAGCTATTGCCTTGTTTGCAAGAAAAACAACCCAATGCAAGTATCAATGTCCAGCTTCTTCCAAAATGTGAATTGATAACTTCACAGATGGAAGCAGATAGTTTTCCGAATAATTTCTATAATAAATACTTCAGTATTTTCAGTACTGCAGCTCACCTGGGAAGGTGTGTTGGATATATTTGCTGCCTTGACTTATATGTGCAAATAATAAAGGTGGGATATAAATAAATAAATACTTTGTAGTATTTCTAATATAGATTAAATGCATTACTATAGTCTATTAATTTTTTTACAATGATAATTATATATTTTCCATATTTGTTGCCAAATAACAAGTCCCAGCTATAATGATCTCCTACCTGAACATTACTCTACTACCAAATGTAAATCTGGAGCCATCGATTGCACCATTTTTAGGATGGGGTGGAATACCACAGGAAATAGCTTGAAGAAAACAAATTAAAAACATCATTTTGATTATGCAAAATATATTGCTATAACATTACTACACCCCCAAAAGGGAAATGGAAATCAAACTAAATGCTAGTATTAAGTAGTTGGGGAGCAGGAAAATCTTATATTATTAGAAAGTAAATTTGGAACAAAAAGGAATGTAGGTTGGATAGAAATTCAGAAATAATTTCACTGTTACTCCATTTCTGGAATGCAACAGAGATATCCAATATCCAATAGTTTTTACATAATCTCAGATAAGCTTGTGTTCCACCACTGCTTCACTGAATGACTTATGAATATTTCCCTTTCCCTTATTCTAAATATTCTAAAATTAGAATATTGTGCAAAAGTTCATTTATTTCAGTAATGCAACTTAAAAGGTGAAACTAATATACGAGATAAGACTCATTACATGCAAAGCAAGATAGTTCAAGCCGTGATTTGTCACCATTGTGATAATTATGGTTTACAGCTCATGAAAACCCCAAATCCACAATCTCAGAAAATTAGAATATTGTGAAAAGGTGCAATATTCTAGGCTCAAAGTGTCCCACTCTAATCAGCTAATTAAGCCATAACATCTGCAAAGGATTCCTGAGCCTTTAAATGGTCTCTCAGTCTGGTTCAGTAGGAATCACAATTATGGGAAAGACTGCTGACCTGACAGTTGTGCAGAAAACCATCATTGACACCCTCCATAAGGAGGGATAAAGCCTCAAAAGGTCATTGCAAAAGAAGTTGGATGTTCCCAAAGTCCTGTATCAAAGCACATTAATAGAAAGTTATGTGGAAGGGAAAAATGTGGAAGAAAAAGGTGCACAAGCAGCAGGGATGACCGCAGCCTGGAGAGGATTGTCAGGAAAAGGCCATTCAAAAGTGTTGGGGACTTTCACAAGGAGTGGACTGAGGCTGGAGTCAGTGCATCAAGAGCCACCACACACAGACGGATCCTGGACATGGGCTTCAAATGTCGTATTCCTCTTGTCAAGCCACTCCTGAACAACAATGTCAGAAGTATCTTACCTGGGCTAAAGAAAAATAGACCTGGTCTGTTGCTCAGTGGTCCAAAATCCTCTTTTCTGATGAGAGCAACTTTTGCATCTCATTTTGAAACTAAGGACCCAAAGTATGGAGGAAGAATCGAGAGGCACACACTGCAAGATGCTTGAAGTCCAGTGTGAAGTTTCCACAGTCTGTGTTGATTTGGGGAGCCATGTCATCTGCTGGTGTTGGTGCACTGTGCTTCATTAAGTCCAGGGTCAACCCAGCCATCTACCAGGAGATTTTGGAGCACTTCATGCTTCCTTCCACAGACGAGCTTTATGGGGATGCTGACTTCATTTTCCAGCAGGACTTGGCACCTGCCCACACTGTCAAAAGCACCAAAACCTGGTTCAATGACCGTGGGATTGCTATGCTTGATTGGCCAGCAAACTCGCCTGACTTGAACCCCAAAGAGAATCTATGGGGAATTGCCAAGAGAAAGATGAGAGACATGAGACCAAACAATGCAGAAGAGCTGAAGACCACTATTGAAGCATCCTGGTCTTCCATAACACCTCAGCAGTGCCACAGGCTGAGGCAGTAATTGCTGCAAAAGGGGACAAGCCAAGTACTGAGTACATATGCATGCTTATACTTTTCAGAGGTCCAATATTGTTCTATGTACAAGCCTTGTTTTATTGATTGCATGTAATATTCTAATTTTCTGAGATGGTGGATTTGGGGTTTTCATGAGCTGTAAGCCATAATCATCACAATGAAGACAAATCATGGCTTGAACTATCTTGCTTTGCATGTAATGAGTCTATCTCATATATTAGTTTCACCTTTTAAGTTGCATTACTGAAATAAATGAACTTTTGCACGATAGTCTAATTTTTTTAATTTCCACCTGTATGGGAAGAAATCTATGAACTCTTAAGTATCATGTTTTGGTACTTTTTTTTTTGAACAAGCAATTCCTGTAAATTTTATCCATAGTAGCCTATCCAGACTGCTATGATTTCTATCTATACAATCATAATAAGTATTAAAAAAAAAATACCTTCGCAGAATGGTATCAGATGGCTCCATTCCCCAGATTCCAAACATGTAACTTGACTCGCTCCTTTTAGCTGGTAGCCCTTTTCACATGAAAACCTGATTTCGCTACCAACAGTGTAGCTGACTCCATGCGAGCGACCATGTTCAGGATCTTCTGGGTGTTTGCATTTTACGGGTTCTTTGGAATCAGATATAAGGTAAAACAGAGCTTACTGACATCAGGTGTGGCTCATGTGCTTAAAAATGAAAACAAATCACGCAACATTGAAGTAGGCAACTTGGCAGGGTAAAAGCCCAGACAAAAAAAGCATGGGAATGCTCATCAAACTCTTTGAAGAACAGTTTAGATCAACCTTAGAGTCATTTTTTCATTACTTGGAATTATACCATTACTGCAAGTTGTTCACCTTGCATCATGAGATATTTTCTTTACTATTTTCAACACTATACTAGTGTCAGGCTACAAAACCAAGAAACAGTTATTTTTAAGCAGTTTCCTTTAGTGTTCCTTACCTATAGATAGAAATCTTACCAAACCAAAGCAGCTACTTGCATCATTAAAGATATACTTTGAGAAATTCTAGGAAGGAGCTATCCTGACCCTCTTGCATTTTTTTTTTGCCTTTTTGCCATTTCTGGGTTATAATTGTAGCTATCTGTGTTAAATTTATGACAAATTTTCTCAATCCAAAGGACAAATGACAAGTTACCGGGTCTGAATTTGCTTGGAAATAAGAGTTATGCATTATCCATTGAACATATGATTTAATAGACCATATCATTTTAGAAAAAAAGATTCAGTTTTAAGATAAATAAGGTGTAATATGGTCTTAATGAAGGATTACTAACAATATTTTATCCTGTTAATAAAATATTTAAGCCAGCTCCATTTAAACCTTATACCAATTATATTGCTGTGGTGGTTCAGTGGTTAGAATGCAGTAATGCAGGCTACTTCTGCTGACTGCCAGCTTACAGCAGTTTGGCAGTTCAATTCTGACCAGTCCAAGATTGACTCAGCTTTCCATTCTTCCGAGGTTGGCAAAATGAGGACCCAGATTGTTGGGGGCAAGATGCCGACTCTGTAAACCACTTAGAGAGGGCTGTAAAGCACTGCAATTGCTATACTACACATTTTGGGAGGCTGGTAATCTGGAATTTCAATGATGGATTTGGAGAGGAGGACTAAAATATAACTATGATTCTATAGAACACAAGCAATTTTCCATGTGCCTATTGAAACAGTTCTGCATTCCTGCTCCTTTACCTGCACATTTCTTGCCGTCTCCTGTATATGGGTGAATGCAGGTACATATGTAGGATCCATTTGTATTAAGGCAAGAAGCATGGGAGTCACAGTCTGAACCAACTGCACATTCATCAACATCTAGAAACAAATAACAGTATTTCATGTTATTAAGAAAATGTCACTCTCCTTCCCTTCACTTTCCTGTACTGCTTCCAACAGCCCCTGTATCTTTTCACTCCAGATTATCCTTATAATCTAATCCTTCTAATCTCCTGAAAGTCTGCTCCCATTCTCTTTTTCTGACTCTTAAGCCTGGCACTCACAGAAAACAGCAAATGCTGCTAACTTTTCTCTGTCACTCTCAGTAAATTCAGTCCAACTATGTAGGTTCCCTTTTGCAGTTCTCCCTTTGAACCAAATGGCATCTAACTATGATTGCTCCCATGCGTCCATTACTGTCTTTCTTCTTCACCATTTTAATTTTCTAGGCCATTCTGATTAAAATCCTGGCCTATTTTATCCTTTTCTTATTCTCTGAAGTGCCATGAATGTTTATGGCATTAGATCCATAAATCATCTTGCTGTTGTGGCCCCATCAGAGTCCAGTTCAGACGATGAGGAATTGGAACTGGAGCTGTTCAACAGGGCTGGCACCTCTCCCTTGGCATGATCAGAGAGGCCAGATGCTGAAGATAATGCTGTCCCGGACCCCTCAGGCACTGGGGGAGGTGGTCGACCAAATGGAGAGCTGCCTGCTTGCACAGACACAGGGAAGGGTCAGCTGCTGACAGGCAGTGGTGCTGATAGGCAGCAGATCACCTCTGAAGAGGGTCAGCTGCCTCTTTTAGCGATCAAAATTCCAATTCCACTTGGGGGTCATAAGTCCAGGACTAACTATATCAGAACTTAGTGTTCTTCTTCCTGAAATTAGTTTTCTAGGAATGAGACTAAGTTCTGTTCTCTTACAAAATATTAAAATGCTGATTATTTTAAGATCTTTTGAAAGTAATCTGTGAAAAAAATGTGGATGCCTGCATTTTTCTTTCTTTCTATACAAAGTACACATGGTGCTTTAAAAGGATATAATAAAACTTATGAAAAACTGCTGACTGAGGCAGATTCTGAGTGATGACAAAAATGCAAACAGACATTCTTTGTACTGTAAGCAGTTCTCAAAAGTTATCTAACCAAATTCTGTCAAAAAATGTAATGGATATATTACATATGTGAAAAAAAGCATGATGGACCACATATCTCCTCCTACCATTAGAGTCATTGGTGTTTTCCCCCTCCTCTGGCCTGAATCAATGCACCACCCATCAGAGCAAGAACTGGAAGATAGTTCAACCTCCCACATAACAATTTTATGTTCAAATAGGAAGGTTGAATCTGTACACATTTTCTATTAAATGTCTGTTCTATACACAGTAACAATTACAATTTATAACCCTAATTATTACAAAGTTTTATTTTTCTTATGCTAAGGAGATCATTTCTTTCCTTTTAGGCCACCAACTTCTAAATGTATGTAAGTAAAGGAGTCCCTGTAGATTTTACTCTGCTAATCATGGCTGACCTTAGGGGGCAGTGCACATCTCCATTTCAAGGTCATTGAGCCAATGTTGTCCGAAGACGTTCCCATGGTCATGTGGCCACCATGACCTAACGCTGTAGTATGGAGATGCAGCGAAACACAGAGTGCTGTTACCTTCCCAGAAAAATGGTACTATTTATCTATTTGCTTTTGCATACTTTTGAATTGCTAGATTGGCAGGAGCTAAATATATGTAGGGCAGAAGTGATTTTTTTTTATTTGTAGCGAATTGGCTGGTGTCTTCCTCAAAGATTTGATTGTTTGTGACTTCTAGGTAAGTTATACATTTAAATGGTTAAACTACTATATATGTTTTAATGTTTGTTGATTTGGTCTTGGACCACAAATTAATAAATAATGATTTCCCTTTTCTACCAGAATCCAAAGACCCACAAAACTGTATGTATCGCAGAGAGCTTGAGCTTTAAACTTCTTCACAAGTTAACTGTTTTTATAAATCCTATGGAACATGTAGGACTTGAGAAATCCAAAGAATCTTTTTAGATCTTGGATCTATGCTTAATCAACGTATTATATATCTGAGCCACAAGTGTAAGCCACAATAGCATGTCATGTATCATGTCATCACTGCACCACATATATCAGTGATGGCGAAACTTTTAGGCACCAAGTCCCCAAACTGCGTGTGCGCCTGCCCAAACTAAAACATGTGCATGCGAATGCACGAACGTGCAGATAAACATGAACATGTGCATGCACAGATAGGCATGAACATGCACATGCAGACATGTGCATATGCGGACATGAACGTGTGCGCAGTCATGCGTGCATGTGCAGCAGAGATCTGAAGACCGGCTGGCCGGCGGGAGACACGGCATCCCAACATCGGCAGCACGGCAAGAGATAAGATCTTTTTCTTTTGTGAGCTTCTGTTTCGTCGTTTGCAGGGAAATAGAAGCTCACGAAAGAAATGCCATGGAGATCTGACCAGGGGCGATGGCATGCATGCCAGCAGAGAGGGCTCTGTGTGCCACCTCTGGCATGTGTGCCATAGGTTCGCCATCACTGACTTATATGAAGCGCATAATTTGTGTCAGTTACAGTATGTTGCAGCTGATATGTATTACCCATTTTGCGCAATAGCATATTGTGTTTCCCCTGAAAATAATATATTCTTTTGACCCCCGAAATAAGCACTTGGCCTCATTTTTGGGGAGATCTTATTATTATTATTTTGCATATTAAGTTTTTTTTATTTTGTATACACATATATATTATTACATAGCCACCATCACATTGTATTATTAAATGTTTACATCAATTCACCTTACCATCAACTCCCAAAAACAATTATTGGCTCTTCTGCTCTCCATAAACCATATTTATACCTTATCTATCACGTTCTTCTCCCTCTCTCCTTTCCCTCTCTATCTCTTTCTTCCTTCTGTCATCCTTACCTACTTCCCCTTCCTCTCTCCTTCTGTTCTCCCTCCTTTCCATTCCTCCTTTCTCTTCTCCCCTCCCCCCTCCTATCTCCTATCCCTCTCTTCTTCCCTTACCTCCCTCCTCTATTTCACACTCTTCATCTCATTTACTTGGTGTATTTCAGCTTCTGAGCAAGCTCATTTTATATTGATGATATTTATAATTCCTTTTCAATATACATATTTAATTTTAACATATATCTTCTTCCTTTTTTTAAGAAATAGAACAAAAAAGGATACATATATAGTCATTGTGCTTTTAACCTCCAC